AGCGCGGCGCGCCTACAGATTTGAGCGGCTCTCCTCGCCCACAGGCAAGCGCAAAAAAAAAAAAAAACCGGCGGTCCGCCATGATGGCTTGCAGTTGTTGCTTCGCGTCCGCCGCTTTGTTTTTTCCTTTTCCCGGGGGGGTAGGAGCAGTGGTTGCCACCCCTCGCCGGCGGCCTGCTCCACCCTCGCTCTGAGTGTTGGTGGCGGCAGCGCCTCCCGTGGTAACATGAGTGTTCCCCGAGATGCCAGGCAGCAGCACTATCTTGCTGGAGAGCAAGCCTCCACCGCCTACGGCGGCACCGAGAGAGCCCGTCTGCTGGAATTTCGCCGGGGTTTTGGTCTGCCGGCCACGCTGGGTGGTCGTGATATCCATGTCGGTGTCCATGATGTCGTGTTTTCCGCGGTTTGTGTTGTGTCGTGTGTGTTGTCTCGAAGTGAGCGCTACAACTCACGGACGGCGTCATTTTTTTTTACACAAGTTGCACAAGTCTACGTCACACGTTTAAATAACTGCACACAGGTTCCAAGTTTTTGAAAGACAAATGTCGAAAATTTTGACAAAAAAGTCGGTCTGTTTAAAACGGCCCTTAGTGCCTCTTCTTGTGCATCATAAGAGGTTGACTAAAAGGGAGAGCGGGTACGCGTAGATGTGGAAGCGCCCTATCTATGTGAAGCCATCACCAACGACTTGTACGCCCCAACGGAAGACAATGCATACAACACACTAGCAAACGTGTCCTCTTATGCATTGACTACGCAGATACATGACAAGCTTGAAATCAGGCTGTTTTACGCGGGCAGCAGAGAGTCCTAGTGGCTCGAGGATTACATACCTCTCTCCAAAAGCAGGTGAGCCGCGAAATACGTGGTCAAACTGTAAATTGTGCCTACCACACAATTTCGCTGCCCTCGATACTTCGAACGGGGGAAGGAAGTACATTGTTATTGCAATAATTTCTGCTATTTATGAACTACGTGGAATATGTACTCCATGCCCCACTAGGCGATTTCACGGGAGGAGCGCAGCACAATGACATACCTCGTGCACGTGAGTGATCGTGATTCGAACGACATCCCTGCCAGTAGCCAGAGCTCCAGAAGCGTCAAGTCCCATGTGGTGTTTTATTTCCGCTCCAACAACGTCTTCGGTCATGTTGACTTTGTAGTGCAGCTCGCGAATGGCTCCCAGAGTTGTCCTACAGACGCCGCTGAGAGAGCTATCGGTCGTGAAGGAGACGATCTCCCTGAGTACAACACCCGGCAGTACGTCAAGGTAGTGTCGTTCTGCTGCAGCGGCTGGTGAAGGTGATGGTGGTGATGGGGCTGCCCGGGCCACGGTTTGAGCTACAGCAGTGCCTGCTGCTGCAGTGGTGGTGGTGGTGGTGGTACCACCGCTGAGACGAATCTTCTTGTCGGCGGGGAGCGAAGAAAGGAGGTCGAGGGCGCGTTTGTCTGGCAACGAGGCGGAGTCCATGTTGTTTCCTGGTACCTGCAGCAAATTCGAAGGGAAGCAGGAGGGACAGACAACAACGAGTGTCATGTGTGAGGCTGTGAAGCCTGAGAATCTCTGAAGTCTTACTGCGGAGGATCAATACTCTGTCCTCCACTGACGATACTGGAACCACAGAGCAGACTAGACCCGGCCTCCTGAAAGGACCCTACCACTTTGCCAACAAATATCACTGCTCTAGGATTTGTCGCGCACAGGACTCAACATCGGGAACTATTGCGGTGGGTGCTGAGGAACAACAGGAAAACACGAAGCTCGCTGGCTATTGAGCGACCATCCAAACTGTGGCAACATCGCTGTCGGTGTGCTCACCTTGATGTATATGGCTTTCCCTGCTATAGGTTGGGCTTGAGCTGGTACCTCCTCCCTGTTGTGGACGCGGAGGAGATGAGTTTATTGTGTGCAAGGGGGGCAAGTGCGTGCAATGTGAGACAGAGGCGAAGGAAGCAGCAACAGCCGTGTCGCGAATTCGCGAACGAATTCGCCTCCAATCTCGCCGCCTTTTCGGCTCCTGATGACTACATGTGGTTCCAACTTCGAACTCAAGTCGCTTCAAATCTCCCCGCATTTTCGGCTCCTCCCTCTCGTGATGATATCTACCTGCTCCTCGCCCCCTACTCGTTGCCCCTCGCCGACGCTCACATGAACACGACACGCAGCACGACCACCTCTACAGCACCAGTATTCACACATATGTTCGACGTTTACACTAATGTTTGTTTGACGTATCGGTGGTAGGGATGCAAGAGACACGGAGGGCAGGTCGAACGGAATTTGCAGCAGCGGGTTTCCGGGTGTTCTGCTGTGACACGGAGACTGGTGGAGTCCATGGTGTGGGGACAGCCGACAAAGAGCCACTGTGCAAGACATCCACGTTCACTATGGAGTTTATCGACGAACGCCTTATGGTCATGAGGTTTTGAGCAATGGCATGCTACCGTTCAAGGTCGCAACGGACAACAGGCTAGCTCTCACGCACACGTTCTTTGAGACACGCAAGGGCGGAATATGGCACACATACAACGGTGTGTCGGGAAACGACTGCAAGCGCCTTGACTACGTCCTGACAAGGCAGGCACATCGCGGCCGAGTATCTATCGTGGTCGTCATCCCCCAGCCGGTTCGCCCAGTCAAAGCAGACTCAGACCACAATATGGTAGTAGCCACCGTCAACCTCGGTGGCAGGCTTGCCCACAACCGTGCAGTCCGGACTAAACCGAAACCGAAGCAATTCAATCGACGGGAATTGCAGTTCGAAGCAGTACGGTGTGCGGTGACTAATCGGTTCCTCCTCAACCTCGACACACGACTGGACGAGCGAACAACCACCGCCGCGGAACTGGCGACCGACTTTACCAATGCTCTCCTCGAAGCAGCGTGGACGACCCTGGGGGAGGAACCGCGGAGACGCCGCACGCAGGAGTGGTGTGAGACCCCAGAGACGCGAGCAGCGCTGGAGCAGGCCCTTACCAAACGTGGAGGGTTATCAAAGCAGCGTGCAAGGGAGTGGCTACACCAGTCGATACGGGCATTTATGCCCACCTGGACGGATATGTGGCTGAACTTGAAGCAATCTACAAATATCGCGACATGCGAGGACTGTACCAACACCTCAAGAGATCAGTGGGCCTCAGCAGGAGACAAGCGGGGGGACAGCAGTTCGTCGTGAATGAGAACGGCGTGTTACTCCGAAAAGGAAAGACATCCTCCAGCAGTGGGTGAGATTCTTCAGCACCATACTCAACACCAAATCCCCCACCCTGAACCCACACATCATCGAACGAGTGACGCAGCGGCCAGCGACACGTGACACTCAACGGTTGGGAGATGTGCC